AGCAGCTTACACTGGCCACTCAGGTTCTTGCTCCATTACCACTCTCTAATCCAAGAGGAAATCTGTCACAGGGAGGGAATACACCAGCTCTCTGCCTCCCCAAGGCAGCCAGGAGTTGGCTATAGACCTCACTTGCTGTAGCCTGAAGTGTTTGGCCCACCGAGGCTGAAGGCTGTGTATTTGTCCCTGAAATGATGGTCAATGGGAGAAGCATGTCCAGTTTAGATCAACATACAGGTGGATGTTACCAAACTTACCCTTCAGAGATCTCTGACTAAAAGAGAGAAGGGATTTCATATGACTAGGTACAGCAGTTTTCTCTTGTTGAGAAAACAGATCACTGGATCCAGAAACCATGAAAAAGGAATATTGAGGTTACTGTGTCATTCCCTGCTGTCATTCCCTGTCGCTCCCTGTAAAAAGCTAATGCACTATGACCACCAACATGGACTAACCAAAAGCATCAGGCAGGGGAGATTAGATGGGCAGGAAGAATCATAGTAAGTGTTACAGACATTAACATCCTCTGTTAAAGCACATGGTCTTCCCAAGGTACCATTGGATCTCTTTATTACAAAAGAGTTGTAAATTGGTATATGTAACTCTGAACTGTGCCTGGAAGATTTCCTCAATCTTTTATCATTCTGTTTTCCTGTGATTTCTGCCACTTTCAGGTAAATGGAAGATTTGGAGACTAACTTAATCCAGACACGCAAAGCATGTAGAATAGAGCAAATGGTAGCAAAATGGCTTCACCGCTCTCGGGATGGTGCATCCAGGTAAATATGTTTTTTGTGAAAGGAATATCTGTTGATCACCTTTGATCAGAGACAGCACAGGCTTGTTCCCAGCAAACAGGCACAATCACAAGTTGCAGATCTTACTCGTTATTTTAGTTGTTCTTGGGAAATATGCATACAGTAGTCCCAAGAAAAAAAAAAAAAAGGTTTTTTAATCATCCCCCTTGGTTTCCAGGGGCAGATGTTCTTTGTTTCACCCATTCTGGTTTTGTGAGCCACATCTACAGAAGTACAACACTGCTTAATGCAAAATATGCTTTTCTTGAAGATGGGGTTTTACTTCTCTTTGTGTCTTGCCATAGGCCTGTATTTTTAGGGCAAGACTGGGTTGCATTACAAAGGATCCTGGCCCACTGCTGCTTTACTTTCCTAAGGTCTCTGAACCAAAATTAGGCTGGCCTGCATTCTGGCAGAAGCAGAGCTCTGTACATTCCCTCACTGCCTTGCTGGGTAAAGGTGTTGCTGTGATCCATGGTCAGGGCTTGCTGTGGGACACACCTGGAGTTCTCCCTCCATATGATCACTGGGCTGGGGTGGCTGAAGGAGTTGTGGTTACAACCAGCTGGTGCCACTGGTCTGATGTCTTGGGCTTTCTGTGGAGCCTGGGGAACCACTGCTGGCCTGCATGGTGCAGAGCCACCTGTGGGTAACCAGGGAAGTTTGAGGTGGGCTGCACCAGTCTTCTCTGAGTACTGGTGCAGCCCACTGAAAGTGGGGCTGAGTGTATGTGTATGTGTCTGTGTCCTGTCCCTCCGACAAAGTATCTTCTAACTATATCTAATTAATCACCAGCTTCTTGTCTCACAGGGGCAGAGTATCTGTGACAGACAGTACCAGTGATGGCAGTGGCCAGCCCCCGAGCCGTGTCAAACTTACTGTCACAGTATATAAAGATTTGGTCCTCCATCACTATGGCTTTGAGATTTGTCCAACCCTTCCTCTTACGATTGCATCGGTCACTGCAGGTAAGTACCATTTTCTTCTCCCTACAGTCACAAGTGTGAGAAGCTTGAACTGTCCCATACAGCCTTAGTGATAAAATCCTGCCAGGTGTTGATGAGGTAGCTCTGGTTGACATGTGATCCTTGAATACTGAGGGCAAAAGCCTGTGGCGTGCAGAGTGCTTCAACACCTGCCTGATTCTGGTGGCTTGGAAGAAACCTAAGCCAATGCTGGCTTCACGGCTCTGCATTCAGACACAGCTAACCTTCAAAAACCTGCAAAAAGCTGCTTCAAACCAAAGTTCTTTCTGGTGTTTTATCTGAAATTTAAAGGAAGACTTTAATCTAGAGTTCTTATTCTGCAGTGGCCCCAGTGCAGAATATGCTCTCCAGGCTTACAGCCCTGTAATGTGGAGATGATCACTGCTAGTTACAGGCAGCCTATGTGAAATTCTGGGCAAGTCAAGCAGATCAAGTCTTCCAGTTATATAAGGGAGGGATGTAGTTCTGCTTTTAATGTCGCTTGGCGGTTTTGAATCTAAAACTGTGAATCTGTTTTTTTTTTAATTTACCTTTTATATTTTAATGGGTACGCAAAAATGCTTGCTTTTTACCTGTCTGTGTGAGTGTGACAGCCAGAGAAAGACTGTGTCCAATCTGGGCAGGCGGGTTTGTGGGAGGGTGGCTGGAGGGCTGGCCAGGGCTCTGCCTCTGGCCACCCATGTGGGATGTGGCATTTCCATCTGCCTGGGAGAATGGCCTGTCCAAAAGCTCATGCTTGTGGGATGTTTAGCATAAAATATGGTCTCTGTCCTTTTACAGTGCTTTTGAGGGAAATTTTCTCTTTATGCTCCTTCCATATGAAATGTGGCTAAATTCACTGAGAGTCTTGAGGTCTAAGAAGTGAAGAAGGAGTTTTTCTGTTACTCTCTTCTTTTTTCCTAGTCAGAAAGAATCAAAATTTTATTAGAACTGAAGCACAGAGAAATCTGTCTTTGCAAGTCCTGCACTTTGCTCTGGGACCCCACAGCCAAAAGCCTGGTGTTTCATTCCAAATGATGTGTTTTGCCTTTCATGTATGGTACCTGATGCCAGGGTCTACCTGAGGGACAGGTGATGGGTGAGAGGTGGGTTTGTGGGCACACCTATCTGGCAGAGAAATTCAATAGTGTGCCTGGGCCAGCAGGCTGGCTGTGGAGGAGCTGGAGGCTGCATGCACACTCTTCCTCAGACCAGAGGTCCGCCTGCTCCTTAGCCCCTTGAATCTTGCAGCTGCTCCTCTCCTGGAAAGCAAAGCTCAGAAACCATCTTTTCCCCTTGCTGTGGATCCTCCCAGCAGACACTGTGGTTAAGGAGACCTCCTCCATGTTCTCCCGAGTTGCAGAGAGGAGCTGCTGGGAATCCAGTCCACATCTCCCGGGGACTGCTGCAGCACTTTGGTTGGAATGGCAGCATGCTGGCAGTGCTGAGCCCAGGCCTGTGCGCTGCTTGTGGTCAGCGGCTGGGATGTGACCAGCAGGGTCAGGCTGGGGTGCAGAAGATCCCACAGAGAGGGAGCACTTGTGAGCAGGCAGAGGGCAAGGCAGTGCTGCTGCCCCCGTCCTCCCACAGATTACTCGGAGCCTCTGTCTGAGGATGGTGAGGTGGTCTGGGACAAAGGAAAAGACATGTGCAAGAGTGATTTTCTGTTGTCTGGGGGCATCCTGTGGGGCTAGGGGCCAGCCTGGGCGAGGTGGCATGAATACAGGCAGAGGTACACCAGTTGGCATCAGGGCCCAACATCCTTTGGCCCCTTTTCATTTTGCCACCCAGAGGCAGTTGCTGAGACAGGTGGGAAGGGGAGCTTGCAGTGATCATCCCTGGTGGGATGAGGTCTGCCAGCACGGAGCATCCATGACTAACAGTGTGTCGGTTGCCCGCAGGGAGCACTGCTGAAGGGAAGCTGCAGCCGGGTGACCAGCTCCTTAGGATAAACTCGACTGCAGTGCATGACTTGTCTGTCGAACGAGTGGCTGACATCATCAGGTGTGGTCCTGCATGTCTTGCTGGTGTGGATGAGGTGGCTGAGGGTGAGAGGAAAGGTGTGGGGACCAGGTCTCACCAAGGGCTGTGAAGGTGCATGGCTCTGTAGGGCTGGACTCTGCTGAGGGGGATCCTGCTGCCTCCTGGGGTGCTGGACTGGGCGGAGGGCAGCCCCGCAGGGACGATCCCATCCTGTGGTTGAAGGACACCAGGAGGCCCAGGAGAGAGGGATTCCCTGCTCTCTGACACGGTGGCAGTGCCTGGTAGGCTGTGCCCTGCCAAGCTGAGGGCCTTCCCTCACCTGGGGCAGAGGGGCCAATGGTTGAGATGCTGGGGAGGAGGGCGCAGGTGGCTGCTGACCCTATCTGACTGCCTGTCTCTGTTTCAGGGAGGCCGATGATGAGCTCCTCCTAACTGTTCTGCGCTGCACGTCGGTAAATGGCCTTTCTTCAGCACTCTCAGCACTCCCAGCAGCACTGCCCCAGATGGCCATGGCTGGTGGCGTGGCCTGCAGTGAAGGTGGGGCAGCTGGGCTGCCATGCAGGACCCAGGCGCCCGACCGAAGCCGTGAGGGACTGCAAGGGTCCTCTGCTTTCATGCATGTCCTTTGAACAGGTTTTGGACAGAATCAGTGGCAACTCCTCACAGCTCTCCTGGCTGCAGGGGGCAGGTGGCTTGCAGAGCCTGCTGCCTGGAGAGGCTTGCTGGGTGGTCTGAGGCCATGCTCCCTGGAGCTGCAGGCTCCATGAGGAACCATGAGGGTCCAGTGGGCTCCGCATGGGGATGCAGGCAGGTCTCCCCAGCAAGCTGTCTCCAGCCCTCCAAGAACAGCCTGGAGTGCTCTTCACATGCGTGTCTCTGCACTCAAGGCACAAAAGGCAGGTGCCAAGGCTGCAAGGCTCAGCACTCACCCTACATGCTCCTTGGAGGCTCTTGAGCTTTTACTTAGAGCACTGGTAAAAATTATCCCTTGTTCTCCAGACCATGTGTGGTTAAGGGCTGGGACCTGGGTGTGGATCACAGTTTGGAAACAGAAGCTAAGTTTTAGTACAAAACTTTGGTACTGATTGACCATTCCTGTAGCATAAAATTCCCCAGAAGGCAAGTACCACGAGCATGATGATATGATGTGTTTATCCATGAGGATTTCAATGTGTGTAAAAGTTGAGCTGCAAAGCAACGACAAAATTGGGTTTGTGTGCCTTTTGGCTTCTTGTGATGTATGAAAGTGGCCTGAGGGGGATTTCCCCCCGGCCCTGCCCCAGAAAGCATTTTGGGAGTCTTTTTTGTTTGTTTGGAGGGTGTTGTTTTTTTTTTTTGATTTATTCTTAAAAACAAGAATGATGATTCCTTCAGAAGAGTTATGGGAGCTCTCAGGCTTAAGGTCATGAGTTTTTTCTGCCATTCGGTAAAGATACAGTAAAGAGAAAATCTCTTAAATATATTTTTCCTGTCCAACGCTTCCTATGTGTGTTGGCATTCAACAGATGTGCACAAAGCCAAAATAACCAGAAAAACTTTAAGCAAACCCACTGAACAGTGGCTTCCCTCTTCTGTTAATGTGATCTCTCTTGCCTCGTATACTGGCTGTCGGTCTTGCCAGTACTTGATCTGGCTCTGGAAATTAGAGTTACTCATGCAAGACCTGGATGCCTGCCAAAAGGGGGAAAATTTTCCCTTTTGCCAGAGAAAAAAGGATCTGGCAAACCCTTCATGGATCTGGAACACCCTTCACAGGCCTTCATGCATTGTTGAAAAGCAAACGGGGCACGAACCCATTTTTGTTTTTTCCTTTGCAGGTCACTTTAAGGACTTTAAGGAGACCTCCAAATACAGCCAAGGCTGGTCTTGGTTTTGGGGTTGGCTCTTGCCCCGCTCTGAAGGCAGCTGTGCTTAGAGCTGAGAGGTAACACCTCCCATCGACGGGCACCAGACCTTCTGTTGGGGCTGCCCTGGCCACACCAGAAGGGATGTGGGGGGCCTTGTTCCTCCTCAAGGCAGGGTGTGGGGCATGATGCTCCCTACGGCCCGGCAGACTCTGGAAGGGCTTGTTGGCCAGGCACAGGCTCCTGCCTGCCTGCCTTTCTCCATCCTTGCCAGATGGCCTTGGGGCAAGATGGGACTGTGGCAGGCTGGGAGGCAGCTGTGCCTCTAGCAAGAATGGAGGAATTGCTTTACCTCAAAGTTGTCTGGGGCAATACTGAGGGATACTGCCTCTGTTCTTCTTGGGTAATACTGTGCTTTACAAGAACAGGACATACAGGCACAAGAACTCGTGTGGTGTCTTGTGAGCTTGGTAGGCCCCTATCACGGTGAAACCATGGTTATTTGACAACAGTGCGATTAAGTCAAGTAGGGTTTTTAGTGTTGGGTAGTTTTCTTAAACATTTGCAATATGACACTATGCTCTAGAAACCCTGGCTGCACTGGGAAGTGGTGATTCACAGCTGTGTTCCTGTGAAACCCTGATGGGGTTCTGTCTGTCACTGCAGGGCACTCTGCGCGTGCTGGTGATGGCACTGCATAACCCCACTGCAAGCCAGATGCTGGCAGATTGACTTAAAAGAATGACTGTTATTCTGGCTTCGTTGTGGGAGTTAGGGAGGTGCCTAAATACAGTAATGGGTTAACATGCAGTGAAATTAGGAGTGTGTACACATGAGTCCACTTGTTGGACAGCTGGGTTTGGGCTCCAAAGGCAGCAATGGCCCAGATTGGTGAAGGTCTGAAGCAAGCCTGGGTCTGAGAGACTGCTAGTGGCACCTGGTCCTGTAAGTGCCAGGCATGTGGTGTGAGCAGCGTCGGTGTATGGTCGCACCTTGCCTCTTGTGCAACAGACTGAGCTGCCAACCCAGTGCTGTTATTTTTACAGGGTGGGCCTAAGTCGTCATTTCTTACTGCAGAGAAGAGGGCAAGGCTGAAAACAAACCCTGTGAAAGTACGGTTCGCAGAGGAAGTGCTGGTGAATGGACATACACAGGTCAGTGGGGCACTGCGTGCTGGGAAGAAGCGGGTCACACCTGTGGGCTGATGCCAGGGTGGGATAATGTGGGCAGGACCTACAGGGTGGCTGCACCGTCACTCTGTGGGTCTGTCCTGGATATGCATCCAGACATCTTGTCCCAACTTGATCCCTAGGCTCACTGGTGACTGGGGTAAGCAGTGGCATCTCCAGGGGCTTTTATATATGATTTTCTTACTTAGACATGGAAAATGCTCTTTTACCATCAGGTGAACTTTAAATCAACATTACACAGCTATGGGGTGTAGCAGTCATCTGTTGAGGTACTAATCTCTCCATAGTAAACCTAGACTGAAGTTTGGGCATGACAAATCCTAACCCCAAAGATGAGAGGTGAATCCTACTGTCTGTGCCAGGTTTATTTGCTGCCAAAGTAGCTGGGATATCTTCCTAGCCTTCAGCAGTGTTCAGGTAGCACTGTATTCAGAGACTTTGGTACTGGTGACTTTGCTTTGCTGCTAAAGTTGACATGTTCTCTAGCTGATAGGGTGACAGCTTGTTGTGTTTCATATTCTTGCAGCAGGTTTGCACACAGCATTCACAGCTGCCTCCATAATAGACTGTCTGTAAGCTGAGCCAATCTGTTCTTATGTGAAACAAGATCACAGCTCACTGGAGGAATGCTGCAAATTTATCACAGGGTTTCTAGCACTGATAACAAATGAGTGGGTAGATATGGGTCTACCTGTAGTAGAAAAGGGGAAGCAGTGAGAACACTCGTAGCTTTCCTGAGGGGAGAACAGCCCTTAAATATTTCCTTCTTCTTTCTGTGTAACTTACAAAGCTCAATGTGGTTGGGATGAACTGGGGTTAGTTGGGAGTCTTTAACTGTTGAGTTTTCCTTTCTCCTTTGGATTGAAAAATTTCAGTGGTCAAAATCCCCAGCTCCTGTCCCCGACTCATTAGTGATGTTTAGTTGTTCAGGTCTGACCAAATCTTGCTTCTTTGCACTTTGCAGTGACGATCAGCCAGCCATTAGGCCCTTTTCTTCTTCTCTTCTAGGCTGTCTCTTGTTTTCCAACTCTGGTGGTAGGGAGCTCTCCTGACCCAGCTCAGGAGGCCTTTCCTCTTCCCACCCTGCACCAGGGCAGAGGTGCAGCCAGAGACACCATTGATGTCACCAGCCTATTAGACAGGCACAGAGAGAATGCTTTAGCACCTGTGGCTGACTCCAGGCTTGTGAGGACTCCTTCTCCTTCTCTGCCCGCTCATTAGAGTAGGAGAGGGTCAGGTGTAACTCCTGACATGGTTGCCAGTTACATCTCTCTAGACTCTGGCATCCTTTCCTTCCAACCAAGTTGTTGCCAGATGTGCTGGAGCTGCTGCAAGGCTTGTCTCTGCTGTACCAAGGGCTGTGTTCACATCCCTCAGATGTCAATGACAGGTCTGTCCAAGCATTATGACAGCTGGGCCACCATTACTGACATAGAAGCCAGGTGCTGGACCCCTCATGCAGCTGGGAGACATGACACACAGGCCTTATAGCTTAGGGACTAGGGGAAGGAAGAGGAGTGGTCCCAGGCAGAGATGACTGAGAGGCCTTGGGCAAGCGTGGTAATGGGTACAGCCAGACCTGAAAATGCTAGCAGACTCTGCTTTTCTTCTGGAGGTTCATGCTAGTATCTGCTTGGGAGCTTCCATGGAGCTTTTTCAGCCAGACTGGGCACTGGTATTGCAGCACATGAAGGTCTCACATCTATGCCATTGACTTACTGAGTGCAAAGAAGGTCTGAAGAAGGCACTTACGAAGGGGACGTTGTACTCTGCACTTCGTAGAAAGCCTCTGTCAATTCTCTGCTGAGCTAAGTTAAATGTACCTTTGCAAGCACAGAGGAGGGACGCAATCAATATACAATTTGCTATTCATTTAGTGAGAACATAAAGGTAAGAGAAATTTATTTGGGTGTTGGGATCCCACTGGTGTTAGCTTCCTTTTTCACCAGTTGGGTATGGACCCTGTCTTGAACAGTAGAGTATTAGCACAAAGGAAGAATAAATAAATTTGTTGCATATTTATGACTTCTTTCTGGAAAAGCACTATTCACCATAGAGAGCAGCTACTCTGCTTGAGTGTTTTAGAAATACTCTCCTTTCAGTGGACTGACATATTAGGACAGCCAAAATGGGTTTTATGGCCCTGAAAAACTGCAAAGCCTTCTGTTTCAGTAAATATACTACTCTTCTCATCTTAATGGAACATTGCTAAGTGATCTTTGTGGCAACTGGAAGGAGCCCAGAGGCTGCTTTCTGCAGTTGAAACGTGAAACTCCAGTTTGGGAACATAAATTGTTAATAAGCTGAAATGCTATCCAGCCTCCATTTTCTCTTCCAAACTTATTATGTATTCTCATATAACTAAATGATATGCAAGAGACACGTCCCTCAGGATGCTCAGGTCAGCATCAGTCAGTATATTATTAGAAGCTGTGGGCCTGGCTGTAACATGGAGTAAATCAACCTTGTATCAGACAAAACAGGAGGGGTACAGCTGCTTAAGCCATAGAAGCAGCTTTCTGAATTAATTCATAGAAGTCTATTAGAGCCTGCACAAAAGGAGAGAAATCCCATCTGGGTGTTCTGGCCAGCTAATTGGATCTGACCAGGAGAATGGTGATGTTTCATTTGTAAACGAATTTCTATATAAAGTTCAAGTTCTGCTGTCTGCTGGCTGCACAAGGCCCCATCCATATGATAACCCGAGGCTGCAGGACATAATGGAGAAAATATGCAGTTGGTGTAAACCAGCATCACTTTTCTGAAGTTGTTGGAGGACCCAAAGCCTGACACGTGATGTATTCGTGCTACTTCACACAAAGGAGTTAGAGCTTGGGTTTGGGAATAGTGGCAATATTCACTCTTTTTTTTTTTTTCCAATGATGACTCTAGGCAGCTTGAACCCCACAAAACAGGGAGGGGAGGAACAAGGAACAAGATTCAGAAGTGTTTTATGTTTGTTCTGCTAGAACTTCCAGGGTATATGGGCTGTCTATCAAGAGGAACCAAGGCTGTGAAATTTATAAGGTGTTAGACGGCAAATGAAACATAGGAGAGATCATCTTAGAAATGCCATTCTCAGCCTTGAGACTGTCATGACAAGTAGATAAGCTCTTTAAGATCGGGGGAACATGCCTGGTCCAAGAACATAAGAAAGATATGCTGAATGGGAAGTCCAGGGTGGGAGAGGAGTAAACATTCTCAGCAGAGGGTGGGAGAGGAGTAAACATTCTCAGCAGAGGGTGGGAGAGGAGTAAACATTCTCAGCAGAGGGTGGGAGAGGAGTAAACATTCTCAGCAGAGGGTGGGAGAGGAGTAAACATTCTCAGCAGAGGGTGGGAGAGGAGTAAACATTCTCAGCAGAGGGTGGGAGAGGAGTAAACATTCTCAGCAGAGGGTGGGAGAGGAGTAAACATTCTCAGCAGAGGGTGGGAGAGGAGTAAACATTCTCAGCAGAGGGTGGGAGAGGAGTAAACATTCTCAGCAGAGGGTGGGAGAGGAGTAAACATTCTCAGCAGAGGGTGGGAGAGGAGTAAACATTCTCAGCAGAGGGTGGGAGAGGAGTAAACATTCTCAGCAGAGGGTGGGAGAGGAGTAAACATTCTCAGCAGAGGGTGGGAGAGGAGTAAACATTCTCAGCAGAGGGTGGGAGAGGAGTAAACATTCTCAGCAGAGGGTGGGAGAGGAGTAAACATTCTCAGCAGTGAACAAGAGGAATAAGGCTGAAAACAATCAGGAAGGTGCAAATGAGCTCTACTAAACGAGTAAAGTGGAAGGCTGAAAGGTGCAGCGCTAGACAGCCTCAGAAGGACATAGGGCAAGTTCCCGGACCCTTCTCAGAGCACCCAATGGAGGTGCTTTTACTATGGGAGTCATTGTCTTGTCTAATGCATTTGAGACCTACCTCAAGAAACTCTGGTGGCATCCTCTTGTTTGGGAAGTCCCAGAGTCAACAAATCTTAGGGGAATGATCGATAGAAGTACCACTGCATGTTTAGCTGAATCCTACACCGTTCCAATGGTGTGCAAGATCTATTCACAGTAGCATGGAGGGTTTGGGTAGCTCTTGCCCAATAATGGGAAGATATCTTTTCCAGCAGATATTGCTGCTTTTCTGGTAATGAGCAGCGAGGATGCGTCTCACCTTTCAGTTCCTGCCAGATCTTCCTGTGCCATGTGGGAGCTGAACAGAGGGCATATCAGGGCCATGTGCAGCTATTGCATTGGATGCAGTTTTGTGGTAAAGGCATTTGTTATGCTCTCTTTCCCTTGTTCTGTGCCAGAATTGTAATCAGGGAATAAAGCTTGGTGCCACAGAAGATTGCAAAAGCAGAGAAAGATTTTAATTTATAACAGGATGCTCTGTGTCAGGCAGAGCAGCCTAATGCCTGGAGGCTTAATGTCCAAGAATTAGTGCTGTTGCTTTTCTTCTACAGGGGAATTCTCTTCTTTGTATGCCCAATGTTCTCAAGGTATACTTGGAAAATGGACAGACGAAAGCTTTCAGGTTTGAGGCGAGCACTACTGTGAAGGTAAAGATGCTTGGTTGTCTCTCTTTGTTCTCACCACCTGAATTCAATCTAGTAGGAAAGGTGCATGCAGTGGAACTTGCAACCTTTTGGTTGTATTGGCCAGCTAGTGGGAACTGGAGTGGTGGCTGGTGGTGAGCATGCTGCATTTTTCATGCCCTTTCTGCAGAGGAGGCATCTACTTCCTTAGCAACCAATTTTCACAGAACTTGGAGGAACCCAGCTATGAGACCACTACAGCTTTATGAAGTGTGATTGAAATTGGGCAAGAGGACAGCTTGGTGGGCAACTGCAAATCAGCAGCTGTCCTCACAAATGTTGCTTTTCTTGGAAACCACATGGCAGAATACAGAGGAGGTTGTTTAATATAGCAGTGACAATCTGCATTCCTAAGAGGGAGAACAATTCCTGGCTTGGGACTGGGACAGTAGAGTCCAGATTTGGATAGCGTGTGAACTCAGCAAGTGCAATTATGCCAGTTGTTACTTAAAGTGCCTGTCCGTGTTCCAGCCTCATTTCTGCACCGGTGAAAACATTTCCCTGTGGAGACATGAAAACTGATCAACCCCTTGAGATGGAACAGCAGTACCACCTCCCAAGGATCACTTGTACTTGGAAGCATTATAGACAACTTACCATCATTCTCTTCAAAATACAACGTGCTGCTCTCCAGAGCCATTAATCTAGCACTTTCTGTAATTGCCATGTTTAGATATAGGCTTACAAATGTGAAATTTTTCTAGCCTGATCTTTAGAGTTGCTTAGTCTTTATATCAGAGTTAATAAGATTTGTTTGTGCACAATGACTGGAAGCCATAATTTTTTTAAAGGACATATGATGTCCTGCAGCTGCGCAGTTACTGTCGAAAAGATGCATGATGGACAGACATTCTTGAGTTTCTAGGGTGAAAAGGGGAAAAGCAAGGAGATTTTATTTATAATGCACTGAAAACTTTGTTCAAAAAGAACTTTATTGTCTAGTTCATCCAAACTTCACAAACTTGTTGTGGTCTCTTGTGCCAGTCAGACTTACTCTCTTGTAAGACTCTGCCAGTCTTGTGACTTGCAGAGCAGAGAAAAAGAAAATAAAGAAATAAAGCAAAGAGGTAGTAAGGAAAGGGGAGATGAGTTGTAAAGAGAGATTTGAATGCCAACCTGCAAAGGATTAAGGTCCAAAAGATGGATTAATTCCTCATGTTTGACTTGAGTTGCTCACCTCTGAGCTGGAACAGATTTTTCCCTACTGATGTTGAGTGCAACCCTCACCAGTGTCCTTACAGAAGCACTCAAATGGGTAAAATGCTTCCTAAGTTAAGCATTTTCAAAAGCTCCTCTTCTTCTCTGCTGTTTGAGAGATCTTTGCTTAACACTGAGATGAGTCAAACATTTAAGCTTACCTTAAGAGGCTTGAGTGAGTCAAAGGAGTTCTCTTTCAATTTGTACTCAGTCCAGCCTTATGTAATGTTTTCTGTTTGCCAAAAACAACCTAGTTATTTCCATGGCACTTAGTATTCCAACAGATTTCTCCATACAACTGAAATACCAGTTTCACTCAAATTTGGTAAGATTTTTACAATTATGCTCTCAAATTCTTGTTTATTGGTGAGGAGAAGTGTTTTTCGCCAATTCTTTTTAGTTTCTTCAAAAAGTGTCATAGCATTCTAGAAAGCTAGAACTGTTAACAGCAAACATTTTGATCAAGGGTGACAGAAAGTACTGAACACCACCAAGCTAAAAGGTGGAAGGCCAAACTTTCAACATGAAGCATCCCAGGACATGGAACTTTAGGAAATGGATTTGGTGCCTATTACACCTTGAAGTTTGCATCTTACTGCACTCTTACCACAAAAATTGCAGTTTCCCTACCTTGTCCTCCTGATCTACTGAAATGTGTTGTCCTCCCTTTATCTATGCTTCCCCTGCAGTTCCCTTGGCTCCCTTCCGTACCAACTGGCTGGCATCAGTGGACGTGGGTGGCTCTGGCCACCATCCTGCCGACTGCCTGGCTGGCATATTGTTCTGTTATTCAGACATCCAGCTGGAAAGCACAGCAGCTAACTGCCAAGCTTGTGCTTCGTGTCCCAAAGAGGTTCCCATCTCCTCTACCTCCACTTCTGATGACTTGCAGGCTTTCTCTAACCTTGTGACCTCTGTGGTTTGTTCTAGGTCAATGTGTTCAGAAGCTGCCAGAGATGAGGGAAAGGCAGCACATCATAGAAGCACTAGTTTCCTGTGAAACAGCACTAAAATATTTGCTCTGTGTTGCAGCAACAGAAAATTCTGTGTCTGGCCACTGCCCATGCAGTGCTGTCCCACATGGCTGCCATGGCAGGCTAGAATCATCCACATTCGTGTGGTATGCTAGCAGTGCTCAGCAACTGCGTCTACATTCTGTTTGACCATCTATCTGCCTTCCCAGGACATTGTTCTCACCTTGAAGGAGAAGCTCTCCATCCGGAGCATTGCACACTTCGCCCTCGCTCTGGAGGAGCAGTACAATGTGGCAAAGATCCACCTGCTGCACGAGGAGGAGTTAATTGAGCAGGTGGGGAGAGCCCCTCGCTGTCAGCCTACCCATGGACTGACAGCTCAGCTCTGCAGGGGTCACAGGAGGGAGTCCCCTTGGCCCCATCTGCAGAGGTGCTGTCCTCTTCTCTCTGCCTGTTGCATGTGTTACCAATGCTCTAACTGGAGCCTATGGAGAAACGGTGCTTTCAGAAGGGGCTCACTCTGATTAGAGAGCCCACAGAGCAATACCCACAGGCTGGTATTGCTTGCATCATGTAGGGGATGAACATGCTTGGTGTCATCTGTCAGATAGGCCCATCTACAGAGGACTTTTTGAAGCAGTTTTAAAATAGCTGCATACCCAGCCATTTACAGTTTTCTAGGTAGTTGGAGAGTTAACCCAGCCAGGTGCTACTGTGATTAAATTCTAAATCAAAAGTTTGTGTCCTGCAAACATGAGGTTAGCTCTATTGGTAATTCTCTTGCTGTGCTAGCAATTTGGGACTAATCTAATTTGTGAGAACATGCCTACTTGGGAGGCTTATCTCCATGCTGTTGATGTTGTTGACGGTCCACTGTAATGCAGAGAGATTTGGTACCTAACACTGTCCAACCACTGAGCACATGTCCCTGAGAATTTCTGCTTTGTTTTAATTGCTGAGCCTGTATGGGATTTGCCCAGAATAAAATATGCTAATATATAACCCAGGGGTCTTAATATTGTGTTGACATCATGATGATGATCCACGTATCTGTTTAAGGCTGCTGTATCTTATGACTGAACTTAAAAGCAGAGAAGCTTGCCCCTTCCTCTGTTATCATAAGGCCTTGAAGCCTCTGTCTTGGTTATCTCACATGTATATGAGATCAATGGATATTTAATGAAGTTTTGTTGTCAGAGCTTCCAAGTCACTAGAAAAAGAATTGAAGATAAAATTACAAACACTAGCAATGTCTCCTTGTATTTTCTAAGGAAAATGGTTAATCTGCAGCCATCCCACTTGCCAGTAGCTTTAAAAAAATGTGTGAGTCCATACAAGCTAGAAGCTTACTATGCATTTATGAAGGGAGGGACTACAGCAGTAATTGTGGTATGATGCTGTTTGTCTGTTGCAGGTGGTCCAAAAAAGAGAATCTCACGACTATCGGTGCCTCTTCAGAGTCTGCTTTGTCCCAAAGGATCCCTTAGACCTCCTGCAGGAAGACCCAGTTGCCTTTGAATATCTCTACCTGCAGGTGAAATAAAGGCATTCCATGCTTCAGGAGCTTTTCTCACACAACTCTCATTTCTGCTTTGAACTAAAGCATACTTAGGCCAGTTCAGTTACATGAATGTGAAATGCAGAGCACTTAAGAACAGAGCATTTGGATTCAACTTGCCTTAACTCCTTGAATCAACTTAGATGCTTGGCTTTTTAACAGAATGAGATTGAAATGATCTGGGTGGCTCGCTTTTTTTGACACACAGTAGTCATATCAGAGGTCTTATCCTGACTACTTCTTGAGCTCCCATCATCATGCTAACTCAGCTGTGTTTGTTCCAGAGCTGTAGCGATGTGCTTCAGGAAAGATTTGCGGTGGAAATGAAATGCAGTGTGGCGTTACGTCTGGCTGCTCTGCACATACAGGAGAGGATCTATGTTTGCGCTCAGCCACAGAAAGTATCCCTGAAATACATTGAGTAAGTTCTCAAATTTCTGTGTTATGTTGTGAATAAGCCCGGCAAAAGAAAGAGCCAACAAAAAGTGGCATCAGCTCTATGTTTGCCCAGTGTTTAGCTCTGGATAGAAGAAAGTCTCTGACCCAAATAGACTGCAGTCTCTTAGTTGTGCTATTCATTTTAGCACAGTGTGGCTTCATGAGGCTCCCTCCCTTTAACCTGCTGAGCTGCTTGAATAACAGTGACAGTATAACATCTGGGCATGTCCCTAAGCAGAGGGACATTCTAATCTGTAGCTAGAGCAGGAACATGAACTCGCAAATCTCTCACATTGTTATGGTTACCCAGACTGCTCCTGCCAGTATACTAAGACTTGTATGCTGTAGTTGAGAGAAAGGATAATCATCAATTTTGCACAGCCAGTACTTTACATCTCTTCATCCATCAGAACTATATCAGAAATACCTAATTTCAGTATAAGTAGTATGTCCTGTGAAGTAAGAGGATCTGGAAAAAAAAATACAAAAAAATGCTTTCACAAGCAGCAGGTGTCCTGTGCTGCACATCAGTGCTGTTAGAACACACTTGCCCTAGAGAGCAACCCTGCTTTAAGAACTTGTGATGGCCCAATCATTAAGTAACAGACACTTGTGTGGTAACTGCAGCACTGAACCTCCACCAGCCCGTGCGAGCACCACCGATTCCTTGCATACAGCCACATACCCAACCACAGGCAGGCAGTGGGCAGCGACAGTGACTACAGGTAACTGCAGCATTGTTAGTTCCTGGATATTTAACACTTGGGCTGAATAAACTCTTCAGCAAAACACATGGCCCACATGGTTGGTCTAGGGAACTAGAGATGTTAAAATGTAATAACCTTGTAATCAAAGTAAAGTGAATGTAAAAACAGAATCTTCATCCTCTGGGTGGCAAGGACAGATTGAGACCATTATGCTGACTAAGCTTGTAGATTGTCTCCTGTATAACCATGTAAAAACAGGCATTCTGCATGAAAGTGCGGGCTCCTCCAACCCTGTCTCCTGACCTGGTAGCAGATGCACATAGAAGTGAATTTGAGTGAGGCAGTCACATTGCATGAGCCATCCAGACATGAAGCTCAGTGCATCCTGGACTGGCGTGGTGTCTTTTCCCTTCTCTGCCTCTCCAACTGCCTTCTGCACGTTCCTGTGTTGCTGGGGTACAGCACTGCTGGACCACATTTGCTCCCTCCCTGTCTTTCTGGCAGGAGGGACTGGGGAATTGAAAACTTCATCTCACCAACTTTGCTTCGAAACATGAGAGGGAAGGATATCAAGAAAGCCATCAGCTACCACATGAAGCGGAACCAGGTGCTCCTGGACCCTCGGCAGAAGGTAGTGTGTGTCCCCTGGGTTCAAGGTGCCTCCCAGGATGGTGTCAGCATCTCTGAGGGCCAAAGTGGAAATATCTTTTCTCTGTGGGTCTACTCTCTATGGGACCACTCGGGGCTTTTCTCCTATCTTATCCTCTTGAAACTCCCTCTGCTGCGCACGCACCCTAATTTCCCTTCATAGTGTGTTCTGTTGTGTTGCAGTTTGCTTCTGGCGTTGCCAGATGGCAAATGTCATAATGTGGGATGATCCTGTACAGATCTATTGCCTACGCAAATCTAGCTAGATGTGCTGGTGAAATACAAAGTCCTGTATGAAATGAACATCTTTTAGCCTACAGGCTACCTGTCAAACCTTATTGGCCTGTCATATTTCTAAACAGTATTTCTTCTCTTGCAAAATGAAGCATATGCTTGCAGCAGTCCAAGTGCGCCTGAGCTACCTACAAATACTGGGAGACCTGAAGATGTATAATGGGAAGATCTTTAATGCCACCCTGATGGTACGAATGCTCTTCATTTATGTAATTGGGTTTGGGCATACTGTCTTACTGCCTTGCTTTGTGCATCTCTTATGGCAGTGTACTTAGACAGTAACTGCAAAGATAGGGCACAAGAAGCAGTTTTAACCCTTTTTCTTCAGCAGGGGGTAAGATAAGCAAAGTCTAAAGCAAAGCAAACCCCATCTAAAGCAGAAATGTTAAACTGACTGTTGATGTGAGACTAGCAACCTCTTACTGAGTGTCCTTCCCTGTCTGCTTTGATGCTTGTAGAAAATTAGCTAATAGAAAATATTAGCTCTGGTGATACTGTTTCAGGCAGCTCCAGGCATAACACTTTTCCCTGTCCTGGGACATCATAATAAATATTGGTAAGGGACTATGCTAGGGTAACACAGCATAGTTCCACTGAAGTGAATAACATACCAGACTACACAATAATTATGCATGGTTTTTTTAATTGAAAGTTGTGACTTTTGCTCTTCAGAGGAGCTCTGTCTAGATTTTGCGCGTCATAAAGTACTTAAGAGATCTCAGGGGGAGGTATTCAAAAACTATTGAAAAGATACTGGCCATGCTTAAAACTTATTGTAAAAAAGAACACTGCTCTTTTCACAAAAGGTTTCTTGGATGGGTTTTTTTTCTGCCTGTCCCCACTTGGATCTGTACTGAACTGTGGACCACAAGCTGTTTTGTACAGAGATTTGAGCAGTGTAGGTAGGTCTGAACCAGAGCAGGACCTTACTGATGGGCTGGAGTAATGCCTAGGATTACACTTGTGTGCAAACTCAAATGTTTCTGCCAATTTATATGGGTATTTATTAATTTTTTTTAAGTGTCTGATCCTAACAGAAAGCATTGACATTTCTTCCAAAACCAAAAATGTGTTCCTGAAGTTTCTAGCAGGCTCCAGTAGGTCTTGCTAGGTCCATCTGGTGCAGCCTGCCAGGTGACACTTCTGATAGCAACCTGCTGCTGACCACCTCTCTGGATCTGCTAGATGGCTGATGCATCTCTGGGGCCACCTGCTGTGGTGGCACAGGGAAACTGGTGGTCCCCAAGCCAGTGAAGAGAACGGCTGGGAGCAGGTGACCTGACAGCCTGTAAGTAACGAGGGGCTCCCTTTGCAGCTGGTTACAGCCCAGCCCAATGTTAAAAGATACCACACAAATTTGGGTGGCTGAGGAGTCTCTGCTTGGCACAGGTGAATGGGTTCCTGCTCAGATTTTGGCTACAGATTTCACCTCTCCCCCTACAGCTACAGGACAGAGAATCGTATGTTGCCTTGTTGGTGGGTGCCAAGTATGGCGTGAGCCAGATTATCAATAATAAGCTCAACATCATAACAAGTCTGGCAGAGTTTGCAAACATCAGCAGGATGGAGCTTACAGAGGAGTCTGAAAAAGTGAGCATGGTGAAAATCTACCTGCAGGATCTGAAGGTAAGTGGTGCTTTCACAATTGCCAGCACGTGGCTGTGTCAGGGCCACTGAACAAGGGGGAAATCATTCACACCACCTATTCTTGTCAAAATGTAACATTTAGCTGATGGTGTCATCAGTACAAAAGACTTAGAACAGACTCAGAATTGAAAGCTTGTAGGAAGAATACGAAATGACTGAAGAAAAGTGATTCTTCCTGCTGTCCCCCATCAGTGAGACATATCAAAGAAACAAAATGCGAGAAAAACAATTTCTCTTCTTTTTCTGTGCCTCATGCAAAACAGTGTTCTGCAATGATGGCAATACGGGAGACAGGGAATGTCTTTTCAGTGTGCAGCATGTTCCTGCAGATTATGATACAAGCAATATTTGTCTATTCTAACATTTTTACTGTTTTCTCCCTGTTCCCCACCCCCCCCCCCCCAAAAAAAAAAAAACAAACTTGCAGAGCCCCCCCCCCCAAAAAAAAAAAAGCTGCTGACTCTGCTGCTGGAATCAAATAGTGCAAAAGATCTTGTCTGCCTCATCATTGGCTATTACAGACTGTTCGTGGATGCAAATGTCTCCATATTTACCTGGGGAGAGAAAAAACAGCAACTGCACCGTGTCTCAGCTGAAGAAGGTTTAAAAAAAAAATCTTTTTTTTTTTTCTTTTTTTTTTTTTCCAAAAAGGATGGGGAGAAAGTGGGTGGGTCCTCCAACATTAGAGGCATTATTCCTTCCTGGGAATAGCACCGTGCTAGAACAGTAGCCCAGGGATGTGCAGTGGCATCTGCAAATTATTAAGACTGTCAGCCTTGATGCAGGCAGTGCTGGGTTTTCATCAACCCTAGACATGTGGAGCAGGGAACTGTCAGCTTTTCCCCAGAGTGAAGGCTGAGTGACTGTCATTGAAACAGCAAACTTGTCACTGAGCACTTGTGCTCTTTTACCAGCCTGCACAACTTCCCCTCTGCCAGCATACCTCGGCCGGGAGAGAGGGTCTGTTTGCCACGCTGTCCTGTCCCTCCTAAGGATAACTCCGACCTCATGGGTGCTGCAGACTGAGGCTTTAGCAGTGAGTTACCTGCCTGCTGCTCTGCAGCTCCCTCTGCCACTGCTCTGCAGTAAAACCAGGCAAAGCAGGCAGGAGGGACCAAGCCTCCACTGACAAGTTGCTGCCCTACAGGTCAGATTGCACCCTGTCTGCTGATGAGTGAGGGCACAGCTCCCGGGCTTTGAGTCCCTGCTATGCAGGCGAGTACGTAACCCTTCTCTGGCTGTTCCTCCTTGCCACTGCAAGGGACAGGCTGATAGATGTGTTTCAATCCCAGGGTACGAATCTCGGACCTGCAGTGACTCTGAAGACTCCTGGGAGCTGGATTCCTCCTCAGAGCATTGCTTGGATGCTCCTGTGTGCAGCGAGGAGGAGCTGGGAGAGCTCCACAACCTGGACAAGGGCAGCATGAAGTCCCAACCTGGAGGGAATTACCAGTGCGATGGGGGTGACAACGCAACAGACAGCACATCTGAGACTTCAGACTCAGCCAACACTGAGAGCCGAGGGTTTAAGACGAGTGGCTCTAGTGACTCTATGGATGCACTGGAGGAAGATGAGTTGGAAGCTTGCTCTTCCTCCAGGCCGGAGTTCTTCCACTTCTACACGTCAACAGTGCAGGAGATGAGCAGCTCAGACAAGAGCTTCTTCCCTATTTGCGCTACAGGAGGCTCCAGCAGGGCAGAAAACAGAGACTACTTCTGTTTCTTGCAGGTACCACATGCAGAGGAGCCTGGGTGTGAAGACGGTCCCTCACAACAGAGAGGGGAAGACACTGCTGCGTCTGTGCTGGAGACCAAGCTGTCTGATACAAACACCATGGGCTATTACAGCCTGTGCTACAGCATACCACCTGCAGGCAGCGTGGAGAGGAATAAGATCAGGCATAGCCCTCAAAGAAGCCCTTGGAAAGATGCATCTGCCCAGGAAGAGGTACCATGTGGAGCAGAGCAGATGGCAGAGGCGAGCGACCTCATTTTGGAGCCACCCCCAGGCTTTGGTGACACCAGCTCTGAGGAGGAGTTCTATGATGCTGCAGACAGGCTCAGCCCTCCAGATGGCCTGGCAGGTAAACCCGCACCCACTCCCTGCAGGTCCCCTTCCTTCCACTCCCTGGGTAGAGTGTCACCTGTTTTCCCTGCCAGCCTTCCTGGAGGGACCATCTTTCAGCTTTTCATAGTTTTCCCAAGATCTCTGAAGGACTTTTGAACACCCATTCTTCATAAGCCACTCTTCAGCAGAAATATAGCAGATGTGCACAAAGGTGTCAGAGCTGCAACTTTGCGCAGAGTTTTGTCATCACATTCAAGCATTGGATCCCAGAAAAAGTCAGTTTTCAAATGAGTTTTGCATTCGGGAAAGTCCCCATGTTTCTGCAGGAGTTCCAGAATGCTGATCTATGGCTCTCCCTAATCCTGAAGTCAACATGCTGCATAAGTTCTGTGCATACTTTCTAGGCTAAATCTTTGGTGATGAAAAGTGATGAGTCCCAGAAACAGAACAGAACAAAGACGTGTGTCCTACCACTGACAGGGCACTTTATGGCAAATATTCCTACTGCCAGGCAGTACTTTCACTCTGGTATCTTCCTTCAAGCTGAGGAGAGCTAAAAGCTGTAAAACATTATTGTTCCACACATCCCCAAGACCAAAAGTAATTTTTGGGTCAGAGGCATGTTATGTAAACAGGGTGAAGGAGTTCTGTGGCTGAGCAGCTCCCCGGTGGTTGGAGTTTCTTGGAAAGGAAAGGAATCTTGTTTCTGAAACCGCCGGCTCTTTCAATATTAACTGAAATCCTTAAGAATTTGTGTAGTTAGAACAATTTTGGCTTTTGTGCTCATGCACAAGAACAATACCACATTCAGGCACAAAACTGTAATCTCTGGAGATTTTTATTATCTAAATATCCAGGCTGGGAATTTCTGATAATGTTTCTATTCAATTTAATAAATCTACAGCTGTAGGCAACGCTCTCTGTAGCTGCTGCTAATACCACCACATTTAACTTGAGAATTATAGCTGTGCCTGCAGTCAGATCAAGTGACTCCAGTAAATAAAGGGAAAGTCTATCCAGTGCCTTCCATCACTAATCCTGGACTTCAGTCTTTTTAGCCACAGGCCCAGAGTCTTTATTTTTCTTGACATAGCTGGTACTGAGTAGGTGCTTTATTGTAACATAAGGGACAGTTTCCTTTGGCACTTGGGAGCCAGTCTTTGCTGCCAAACATTTATGTCTGTGATCACAGGGCCTGGGTTAAGAATTTTTTGGCCCACTGCATAGATACATATTCTGCTGTCTGGGACTATTTCCTGACTTGTGTGATTTTTTTTTCCTGCCAGCAGGCTACAACATGATGTCCCAGGAGGGTACAGACAACTCCTCCTGCATCCTAAAGAAACCAAGGTGTTACAGCTTGGGGGAAAACCTGATGACAAGGCAGACAGCAAGGGAGAAACACAGAAAGGAGAAGGAGCTGACATATGCCAAGAGCCTGAGGAAGAGGAGATCTTTCCTGAAAACCGATTACACCTCGCAGGTCTCCTTCCCCTTGGCTTTGCCAGGCTCTCTGCAGAGCCGCTGCTCTTGGCCACCCCCCCCACCACTCCTTGCTCAGCTCCCCACTCCTCCCTCCTCAGAGGACATCAAGAAGGACACAGAGCTGGGACTGCCTGCTGCCACCCAGAGAGATCCATCCACTGATCTGATGGAAATGGAGCCTGACACCATGGAAACAAAATCAGTGACTGACTTGGTGGTTTCTTCCATTTCAGCTGTTCGCCTGCAGGGTGACCTGCACAGGGAAGGGAGCGTAGGCCTTTCCATACATGTGGACAGTGGCCTCCAACCTGCACATGCTGTACATCCACCTTTCCTGTCCCTGGAGGAAGCTGTGCCCCTTGCTGGGGGACAGAGCAGAGCTGCCCAGGAAAGTTCCTCCATGAAGACAAATACTGGGTGGCCAAGTGAGCAGAGCTGTATGGCCGCTGGAGGCTGGCTAGCCCGAGTGGCACCAGAGGAGGTGGGTGAGGCAATGGCAGCCCAGCACAAGGCTGGCCATGTACCCCCATTGCTGGACCACGAGGTGACCTGCCCTGCTAATGAATTCACACTGCCGCCATCAGCTCACAGCCCCATTGTAGCCTCTACCCATGAGCTGGCCCAGGACAAGGAACTGCTCCCCACTGCTGGGGAGCAAGCAGTGTGTGAGGAGCCTGTCCCAGTTCCCTGCAAAGAAAGAAAAGCTAATTGTGATAGCTGTGCTGAAAATAGCAGTGACAGTGCCTTGTCACAGGTAAAATGCAGACAAGTGATAAACAAGGAAGCCTTATGGAAAGTGCACAATAAAAATCACATTGGTTTTCCAGATGCAACCCAGCTCTTAAGAGATTGCAGCAGCGCTTCAGGGGTTATAACTCGCCTCTCCTGGCTCTCATCTGGGGTGAGGACAGACCTCACATCACCCAGCCCATCTCAGGAAAGGGTAGTTCTCCCACTGGAGCTTTTGGCCTCTCAGAAGACCAGTGGATGCATGGAGACTGATGCTATCAGAAGGGAGATGCAAACATCCCCAGCTGGACGACCCTTTGAGAAAGAAGTGATAAGCAGTCTGGAGTTAGATACAGGAGAGCCCAGAAAAGATGGAGGAAATTTGGTTCACAACCAGCCGCAGCCTGTTCAGACGCCTCTTCCCAAAGAACAGGCTACTGAGGCGGAGAAGGATGGTCCTCTGACTCCATCTCTAGACCTTTCCATCTCCTCAGGCCCAATACCTTTGGGCTCACTGGGGAAACAAGCAGGAGATCATGGGGCTTCAAAACACTCCTTCCTATGCTTTAACCACAAGAAGGATGGGCAGACCTCTTCTGACCCCATCGTGACCAGGACCTTGGGTTTTCCCACAATGAAGACGACATCTCCACCACAGCTTGGGATGGACAAGTGCAGCTGTCGGCTCTCCTATATGAGCTGCTTCCACAGGCCTGCTGACAAGGGGGACCATGAAACCACCATTCCCATGTGCAGCACATTTTTGGGGCCCCTCACCACCCCACCATCCAGCAGCTGCAGTCTTCCTGGGACCCCTGTGGGCATTTACCCAGTCTCCATTCCTAGGGATGTGGCACAGTGGGACCCTCATGTCCAAGCCCTCAGCCAGCTGAAGGACCAAGCACAGATGAGCCCTGCAGATTTCTCCTGCTTCCTAGCCTACACCACAGAGCTTCAGGAGCTTGTGGGGAAGCTCTCTGGGAACCAAGCAACCCACCTTCAAGATCAATGTGCAGAGCAGGGTGCGGAGAGCAAGGGTGCCCTTGGCTTAGCCTCCCAAGACCTGCTGTCCAGTTGCCAGGAGCTCCTGAAAACAGAGCAGCCCCTCAAAGAGCTGCAGGGTGTGCTGAGGGTGACATTTGACCAGCTGGTCCAGCTGGCAGTGGCCTGCTTCCAGGTGACACACTGCCAGCAGTGCAGGCAGAGGCAGCAGGAGCTCGGGGCTGCGCTTGGAGACGTGGTGGGCACCTACCACCAGCTTGTGCAGGCTGTTCACCAGCAGCTTTGTGGGCAAGGCTGCCCGGATCTGGGTGCCAAGCTCCTCGCTCGCCAACACACAGCCCTTACAGCTGCCATGTTTTGTCTCCTGCAGCAGTTCAGGGCACCCCCCTTGCTGTGATGGGGCTGTTTGGTGGCACATGGGTGCACTGGGTGGGGAAGAGCCCAGCCATGTTCCCTCTGTCCACTACCAGGCTCTACCCCCCAGTTTTAGCCTCACAGCTCAAGAATGGCCACAGAAGGATGTGTCCATGCGCATCGGCTTAGATCCCCTGAGAGCTGCCCTGTCCAGGGGATAGTCATGGGGCAGGGTGTACTGCTCTCCAGCCTAGCTTTGCACAATTCTGCCTACAGAATCCTTAGGTAACATGCAAACTCCTAGAGTACTTCATTGGCTTAGGTATCTTGACTGGGGCTTGTCCCTCACCTCCCAAAGGCCTTGAGGTGGCCAGTTTCAAGGTGTTGTCTTAGTCTTCTTCTGTCACCTGTGGAGAAAGAGAGAAGCATTTTGCCTGCCTTTCCTTCCCATCCTCGTACTCCAGGCAGACTCTGGACTCAAGTGATGCCAAATCCCACGCTGGCTCAATATGGAGGAACCTAGTCTGCTTCATCCACCTTCTGTAACTGAGGATGTGTCTGGACTTGTGATGGAAATCTCTTTGGGAACAAAGCTATGCTATATTTAACTGCTTTTCCTTGCAAGGGCTGAAGAGGGCTGTTTCAAACGAGGGTGGCAACACTGTATCCTGCTCTTATGATATGGTTTCTGCTGTCAGCCAGCTCTTCTATTGCTCTTTGCTGGTGTTTGAGAAAGTCTCTGATTAACCTCCCCCCCCCCCCCCCCCCCCCCC